TGAAGTGGCTCTCCGCAAAAGCAGGCTAGGAAGTGCTACCTTTGGCAACACTAAAGATCTCTCCTTAGAAAGCAGTGCTTCCAGAACACACACCTTTTTCTTTGGCGCATTTGTTGGCCTGCATTTACAGAAAGAAAGACACTGTGAGCTTCAGACCATCCTGTGTCCTGTGTGCACACGTCTTTTCTTCACTTGGTGACATTAGAAAACCAGATGGGAAATCGTGTTCAAAGGAACACAGAAGAATAGAACGAACCGACTCATGCTAAAGTTTTTCCTGGAGGATGTTTCCTCTCAAGGACATGTTGCTTGGCAGTTAAGTGATTTTGCCCCAAGGGGAGAATCAAGCTGCTAAGGGAAAAGCTCACGGCCACTCAGTGTGTGGCCGATGCTGTCATTTCCTTCTGCTGCCTTAAGTCAAGCCTCAGTGTGGAACAGACGCTCATTCAGAATTTCCCCCACCAAGGACACCATACAAGTCACCTATGATACATATGATCAGATCTTAATAAGAAAATAACTTTCTCTCAGATAAAACCAGGTGGCCTGACCTTCAAATGCCATGGGCATCCTCATCTGAGCTCACTGGCGAGGCCTTCCAGGGGATCCTCAGCAGGAACTGGGAGGACACAGAGTGGCCGTGAGCACCTTAGTGGTGTTGCCCATCAACAATTCAGAGCCACTGGTTGACATGGGTGTGGGCCACTCCACACTCCACTCGACCTGGGTGGAGAAACCAACTCCAGTGAAACAAATCTAACTTTCTTTGAGACTGGAAAGATCTATTTCTATGTTTACTCAAAGAAGAAGTAAACTTCTTCTAAGGGAGAATTTGGCTACTTTCAGCTTCATGGGGAAAGTGTGAAGGGGGTGCCCTTGCCCCCTCTACACAGGAGAAGTGTGATATGCTACTGGCAGCCTAGGAGAGCCAGCAGCAGAGAGGAACTGGAGCCCCAGAGAGGCCAATTTTTCCCCCAGAGAAATGATGCCCAGGATCACATTCACCTCTAACAAGGGGAAGTCATGGACCTGTGCTGGGAGGATGGCTATGAACACACACCTCAACGACCCCAATATGGATGACTCTTGACGGACATCTGGACTCACCCCAATGAAGACCGCTGGGAACTGGGCTAATCCCACTGAGGATGATTAACACCTGGGCTGAGCCCGCCCCCTGCCCCGGGGACAACATCAGCTGGACACAATGAGGATGTCTATGAAAACTTGAGTGTTCTCAGAAGAGGACGGCTATGAACACATGGCCTGGGCCCACTGAAAACTGCTGCTAGGCTGGGCCCAGGAGGCAGCTTTGAACAGATGGACTGATCAGGACAAGGATAGCTGTGAATACCTGAGCGTGCTGGCCCAGATGAAAAGGGTTATTAACTTCTGGGCTGGTCCCCAATTAGGACATATGAGAAAACCTGGACTTCCCCAAGTAATGATTGCAACGAACAACTGGGCTCAGTCCGATGAGGATAGTTGTGAACACCTGCGCTGTGCTCAATGGGGATGACTGTGTACAATGGGGTCTGGCCAACGACAGGTGTGTGTGTGTGTGTGTGTGTGTGTGTGTGTGTGTGTGTGTGAACAACAAGGCTGTTTATTTCACCTGGGTGCAGGCGGGCTGAGTCCGAAAAAAGGAGTCAGCAAAGGGTGGTGGGATTATCATTAGTTCTTACAGGTTTTGGGACAGGCAGTGGAGTTAAAAGCAATGTTTTGGGGGCAGGGGGTGGATCTCACAAAGTACATTCTCAAGTGTGGGGAGAATTACAAAGAACCTTCTTAAGGGTGGGGAAGATCATAAAGAACCTTCTTAAAGGTGGCGGAAATTGCAGAGTACATTGATCAGTTAGGTGGGGCAGAAATAAATCACAACAGTGAAATGTCATCAGTTAAGGCTATTTTCACTTCTTTTGTGGATCTTCAGTTGCTTCAGGCCATCTGGATGTATACGTGCAGGTCACAGGGGATATGATGGCTTAGCTTGGGCTCAGAGGACTGACATTTCTGTCTTCTCATATTAATAAGAAACATAAAACAAAATAGTGGTAAAGTGTTGGGGCAGCGAAAATTTTGGGGGGTGGTATGGAGAGATAATGTGCGATGTTTCTCAGGGCTGCTTCGAGCGGGATTAGGGGTAGCACAGGAACCTACAGTGCGAGAGATTCAACTGAAGAAAGATTTTGGGGTAAGGGGCAATACTGTGGGGTTGTTAGAAGGAGCATTTGTTGTATAGAATTACTGGTGATGGCCTGGATGCGGTTTTTATGAACTGAGAAACTAAACGAAAGACACAAGTTCCGAATAAAGTAAGAGGAGAGAAATATAGGTATTAAAGGACTAAGAATTGGGAGTACGCAGGACATCCAATTAGAGAGTGTCCAAGGGGGTTCAACGTTATTGTTTGCTTGACTGGTGAGTTTTTGGGCTCTATCCTTGAGTTTTATGTTGTCATGTAACAGGCCAGAATGATTTAGATAAAAACAACACTCTTCATTTGAAAATATACGGAGTCCTCTTTTTTCAGCAGTAAGTCGAGGCCTCAGCAATTTTGGAGGAAAGAGAAATGAAAAGCCAGCATTTTTTTGTTAAAGAAGGATTAGAAACGCCTAGGAAAGAGTAAGTTTGATAGTGTGGTGGAGATGGCTGGGGAAAGGTAGAGGGTGGCACTGGAAGGGGAACCAGAATAAGAGTAAGTATAAAAGTAAAGAATAGGACTTCATCAGGGTGAAAGTATTGGAGGGTACCTTGCCACTGAAGATCTATCCACTTCAAGAGAGACTTAAGGGTGGCAGATTGAGGTAAAACCAGGAGCCACTAAATACCAAGAGCCTGAGAAACTGCTTGGGTGATTTGACTAATAAAGGCCAGTCTGTTATTGGACTGTAGAGAGGTGGGACAGCCAAACTGAGGAATTATGTCTGACAGAAGGGAAGAAATGACCACGGTGGCCTTCTCAGACCCTGTGGGAAAGGCCTCTACGCATTCAGTGAAAGTGTCTACCCACACCAAGAGGTATTTTAGTTTCCTGACTGGAGGCATGTGAGTAAAGTCAATTTGCCAGTACTGGGCAGGGACAAATCCCCGAGCTTGATGTGTAGGGAAGGGAGGGGGCCTGAGTAATTCTTGAGAAGTAGAAGAATAGCAGATGGAACACTGAGAAGTTATTTCCTTGAGGACAGATTTCCACGATGGAAAGGAAATGCGAGGTTCTAAGAGGTGGGCCAGCGGCTTGTAACCTACATGGAAGAGGTTATGAAATGACGACAGAATAGAATGGGCCTGTGAGACTGGAAGAAGATATTTTCTTTGGTCCAAGAACTATTTGCCTTGTGCAGGAAGAGATAGGTGGAGTTTCAGTGAGGGAGTAGGTGGGAGTGGCCAAGTGAGAAGGAGAAAAACTGCCCTGAGGGACAGAAGTTGGAAAGTTTGCTGCTGTTTTTGCTATCTTATCAGCATAAGTGTTGTCCTGAGTGATGGGATCTGGTGCCTTTTGATGGCCTTTGCAATGAATGACTCGAGCTTTCTTTGGAAATGAAGCGGCCTTGAAAAGAGTTTTTATTAAAGAGGTATTAATGATGAAGGACTCTTGTATAGTAAGGAAACTTCTTTCTGCCTATATAACAGCAGGGTGGTGCAGGATATGGAAGGCATAGTCAGTATAAACATTGACGCGTAGTCCTTTTTCAAGAGTGAGGGCTCCAGTTAAGGCAATGAGTTTGGCTTGCTGAGAGGTAGTGGAGGGGGCAGAGCGGTGGCCTCAATGATAGATGTGGAAGATACTGTAGAAATGTAGCCTGCCTTTGCTGGTGAGTGGCGGTTAGGCCTGGTGGAACTGCCATCAATAAACCAATTGTGATCAGGGTGAGGAACAGGAAAGAAGGAAACATGGGGAAACAGAGTGAATGCCAGGTGGATCAGACAGATACAGTCAAGGAGGTCAGGTGTGGTATCAGGAATAACGTGGGGGCCAACCTAAAACAGCAAGGTCAAGTTGTTTGGACAGAAAGGCTACAGGGCACGGTCCCGGCTCTTGTGTAACAATTCCGACCACACAGCCCTGCAGCTTCGGCTGAGTGTGATGGAAACAGGTTGGGATGAGTTAGGGAGAACTAGTGTGGGGGCAGCTTCTAGGGCTGTTTTTAAGAAATGGAAAGAGGAGTGAGGAAAGGATTTAGGATCAATGGGGCCAGCTAGGTTTCCTTTTGTGAGTTTATATAATGGTTTTGTTAGGACAGCAAAACCAGGTATCCAAAGGCGAAAGTATCCAACCATGCCTAAGAAGAAAGGGAGTTGTTTTGTAGAAAAAAGGTGTTGGGGTTTAAGAGATTGGTCGGACATGATCGGCAGGAAGAGCACGGTGTTTTTATGTAGAATTATGCCACGGTAGGTGACGGATGGAGAAGAAATTTGAGCTTTGGAGGGGGATACCCAATATCCCTTGGAGAATAAATGTTGAAGGAGCAGGAGGGTGTCTTGTTGAGAAGATTCAAAGGAGGAGCTACAAAGTACAAAGTCTTTGACTACAAAGTCACAATATATTGAATAAGGTGAGAAGCAGAGGGGTGGTAAGAAAGCAAATCATGGGAAAGAGCTTGGAGGCTGAAGTAACGAGGGCTGTCCCTGAAGCCTTGCAGCAGTAGAGCCCAGGTAAGCTGCTGGGACTGAAGGGTGTCAGGGTCAGTCTGGGGTAAAAGCAGAGAGGCTGGGACAAGGGGTGCACGGGAATAGTGAAAAAAGCATCTTTAAGATCAAGAACTGAATAGTGAGTTGTGGAAGAAGGTACTGAGGACCAAAGAGTGTACGAGTTGGGCACTACAGGGTGGATAAGCAAGACAATTTGGTTGAAAAGGCGCAGATCCTTAACTAACCTGTAAGACTTGCCTGGTTTTTAGACAGGTAAAATGGGAGAATTGTACGGAGAGTTTATAGGTTTTAGGTGGCCATGCTGTAACAGGCGAGTGATAACAGGCTTTAATCCTTTTAAAGCGTGTTGTGGGATGGGATATTGGCAACCAGCGGGCTAAGGGTAATTCGGTTTTAATGGGATGGTAAGGGGTGCACGATCGGTCACCAAGGAGGGAGTAGAGGTGTCCCATACCTGTGGGTTAAGGTGGGGAGATACAAGGGGAGGATGCGAAGGCGGCTTTGAACTGGGGGAAAAGGCAGCAATGAGGTGTGGCTGTAGCCCAGGAATAGTCAGGGAAGCAGATAATTTAGTTAAAATGCCTCGACCTAATAAGGGAGCTGGGCAGGTGGGATAACTAAAAAGGAGTGCTTAAAAGAGTATTGTCCAAGTTGGCACCAGAGTTGGGGAGTTTTAAGGGGTTTAGAAGCCTGGCCATCAATACCCACAACAGTTAGGGAGGCAAAGGAAACAGGCCCTTGAAAAGAAGGTAATATGGAGTGGCTAGCCTCCGTATTGATTAAGAAGGGGACGGACTTACCCTCCACTGTAAGAGTTATCCAAAGCGTCTGTGATGGTCCAGGAGGCTTCCAAGGCGATGGGGCAGCGTCAGTCTTCAGCCACTAAGCGGAGAAGGTGTGGGAAGGAGTCAGTCAGAGAGCCTTGGGCGAGAGTCCAGGGGCTCTGGGAGGGGGTGCCGGGCAAGTTGGACAGTCCGATTTCCAGTGGGGTCCTGCACAGATGGGACACGGCTTAGGAGGAATCCCGGGCTGCGGGCATTCCTTGGCCCAGTGGCCAGATTTCTGGCACTTGTAGCAAGCTCCTGGGGGATGAGGTTCTGAAGGAACCCCTGGCAGTGGCCAATGACAGCTTTGACAAATTTAGTAGGCACCAGTGAGGAAGGGTGTGAAAGCATGAGCTACTCCCGGTAATTAAAGCACTGCAGACCTTGGCTGGGCCCAGTGAGATTGAATGTGAATATCTGGCCTGGGGCGAAGGAGGATAGCTGTGAACACCTGTGCCCGGACCAATGAGGATGGCTGTGAACACCTGGGCTGGGCCCAAGGGGACAGCCTGGAATAACTGGGATGGGCCCAGAACACATGGCTATCAACACCTGGACTGACCCCAATGTGGACAGCTAGAAACATCTGGTGTGTGCTCAGGAGGACAGTTCTGTTCATTTTGGCTGAGCCGAATGAGGACAGCTGTGAACATCTGCACCACGCCTAATTAAGACGATGGTGAACGGATGGGCTGTCCTCATGGGGGACATCTGGGAAGCCCTGGCCTGGGACTATGGAAACTGCTGGAACCAACTGGGAGAAGTCCTGTGAGGAAAGCAATGAACACCAGGGCTGGGCCCAGTATGGATGGCTGTCATTACCTGGGATGGCCTCTATGAGGGTGGCTGGAACCAATTAGCACACATGTGAACAAACTAGCTGGCCCGATCAGGACGGCTGTGAACATCTGGGCTGGCTGTCATGTGAAGGACAGAGAACTCCGTGGCTGGTTTAGATGAGGACCACTGTGAACATCGGTTCAGGCCTGGATAAAGACAGCTGGGAAACCCTGGGCTGGACATAATGAAGATGGCGATGAACAGGTGGCCTCAGGCCAATGAAAATGGCTCTTACCCTGGGCTTCATGTCAGTGAGAGGAAGTGTGAACTCCTGGGCTTGCCTTCATACTGACAGCTATAAAAAACTGTTGCTATAAAGAGCTGAGCTCACACAAACGAGGGAGGCTGTGAACACCTGGGCTGACCTGGATGGGGATGACTGTGAACACGTAGCCTGGGCCCAGTGAGGACAAGTACTAACACCTGGGCTAGACACCGAGGAGGATGGCTGTGAATGCCTTGGCTGGGCTCTATAAGGACAACTTGGGAGTGTTTGGGCTCGGCCCTAAGTAAATAGCTGTGAACCCCTGAGCTGGGCCCAGTGAGAGTTGCCATGAAAACCTGGGCAGGGCCAGCGAGGACAGCTGTGAACACCTGGCCTGGGTCCAAAGAGAACAGCTGAGAACACTTGGGCTAAACCAGTAAGGACAGCTGTGGCACCAGGGACGATTGCCATGTAGACAGCTGTAAACACTGTGGCTGGTCGCATGAGCACAGCTATGAATGTCTAGTCTGGGCCCAGTAAAGACAGCCAAAAACACCTGCCCTGGTTTCAGTGAGAGCCACTGTGAGAGACCGAGCCTGCCCCCATGAGGATGCCTATGAACAGCTGGCTGGGCCCAAGACGAATGGCTCTCGACACCTAAACCCACCCCGAGAAAGATGCTGTGAACAACTGGGCTAACCCCACTGAGGACGACTATTAACACCTGGGCTGGGTCCAAGTGAGGGCGACTTCAGCTGCACCCGGAAAGGACAGTTGTGAACACCTTGGATTTCTCTGATGAAGACGGCTATGAACCCATGGCCTGAGCCCAATGTGCAAAGCTGTGAACACCTGCATTGGTCCCAGTGAGGGAAGCTGGGAAAACCCAGTGGAAGCAGCAGTGAACAACCAGGCTGGCCACAAGAGGACAGCGCACGGAAACGGATCACGATGAGGACGGCCGTGAATGCCTGGAAACAAAGCTACCTGAAGTCATTGCACTTCATTTTCATAAAGGGAGTACTATTTCATCTGTTCACAGCAAAAACTGGCAGAATCATCATGCTCTGGCTTTTATGAAGCTGATCCCCATGAGGAGAAAAATCCTACGAAGCTGAACTCAGAGAACTGTTTAAAAAGCTGACTCCAATGGTTCACATTAACGAGCTCTTGTAAAGAGCCTTCTAGATAGAGCGTTCCATCTGATGTCTTTCATGAAAAAACAAAAGGGGGCTCTGGGCAGAAAGGGCCAGAAGAAAGTGGAAGTCCACGCCTGGGCTCATGTGCCAGCTGTGGCTGACCCCTGGCTAGGGTACTGCAAAGCCAACCCAGCCTGTGCTTCCTTTCAGGCCTCAGCTCCCCGGCAGGCTGGCTCCTTCTCTGGAAGCTTCCTCCCTGCTCTGGGAGTGACACTTCATGGATTCATCTGTTTGCCATTTTCCAGATGACATCATATTCAATTTTTTTTTTTTTTTTTTTTTTTTTGCCTTTCTCTCCCTTTGTTCACCTCTCACCTCTTAAAGTCCTGTTTGTCCCACTTCCCTGTCCTTTGGAAAAGTAGTAACACCTGCCGATGACCATCCTCTGCAGTCCCCAGACTCCCTCTCCCCGTCATCATTAATAAAGGTGACACTGCAGCTTGGCATGAATACAGGTCCTCCCCGACATGCCCTACCCCCCATCTCTTGGAGCGTTTAGTTCCCTGACTGCAAAACCCCTGCCTTTGAAGGTTTCTTCCTGCACCCAGCTCCCGTATCTATATTCTGAGCCACACTCAAAGAAAAATCAAGTGACACAGTGAAAAATGCCATTCGGAGTGCTGGCCTGGTGGAGCCCAGACATCAGATCAACTTATTAAAGCCCCATATCTACTAATTCCACCTAGAAAAAAAAAGATGTCAAAGTTGTTTAGACTGATTTGTTCCTCAAAATCTCCCGACTCTGTCGCCCTGGCAGGGCCAGAGAAATCCCAGCAAAAGTCTAATCAAAGTTAAAGCTCAGAGTTAGAGAGCTGACGGGGTGGATGCTTCTTGGGAACGATCCTGCAAGCCAGCCTCCCTGCCACACAGATGGGGAAACCCCGGATCACAGGTGTGGGGAAAAGAAAGAGAGATCAGCCTGTTACTGTGTCTATATAGAAAGAAGTAGACATAAGAGACTCCATTTTGTTCTGTATTTGAGATACTGTTCATCTGTGACCCTACTCCCAACCTTGTCCTTGCAAGAGACATGTGCTGCGGTGACTCAAGGTTGAATGGATTTTGGGTTGTGCAGGGTGTGTCTTTGTTAAACAAATGCCTGAAGGCAGCTTGCTGGTTAAAAGTCATTACCATTCTCTTTATTTCAACTACTCAAGGACACGTACACGGCCAAAGGTCGCAGGGACCTCTGCCTAAGAAAGCTAGGTGTTGTCTAAGGTTTCTCCCCATGTGATAGACTGAAACAATGCTACTAAAAGGTTTATGGAGATGTCTGCATATGCATCTCAAGGCACAGCATTTTCCTTTAAACTTCTTCATGTCACAGAGGTTTTTGTTCATATGTCTTACTGCCGATTTCCTCTTTTTCTTTGATCCTATTGTCCTGCCACTCCCCTGTCTTTAAGATGGTAAAGATAATTATCAATAAATACTAAGGGAACTGAGAGACCAGTGCCGGCGTGGGTCCTCTGTAAGCTGAGCGCCGGTCCCCTGGGCCCCCGCTTCTCTTTCTCTATACTTTGTCTGTGTGTCTTATTTCTTCTCTCAAGTCTCTCGTTCCACCTTACGAGAAACACCCACAGGAGTGGAGGGGCAGGCCACCCCTTCACACAGGGGTTGGGGGGTTTCCCCACAGTCACATTACAACCCAGGCGTGCGATCACCGTGTTGAGTTGACTTTATCACCCTCCACCACCTTCAAACAGCAGTCCCCTGAACCTCCAAGTTTCCCACAAAGGGATTGTTTTCTCCCAGCCTTATTTTGCCAGAGGGCTGTCCAGGTGCCCAAGATGCATGAACCTTAAGGCTGATATTCGAAAAATACATTCTTATTTTTCTGACCAAATAGGTTTCCAGATTGGGGCAGAACAAGCCATTCAGCAATTATTTTATCTTTCAAAACAAATGGAATGCATGTCCCTATTACCACTATTCATTGCCGCTTTGTCCATCACATTCTGTGCACAGCATCCAAATCTGGTTAGAACATCAAATTAAAAACCAAATGACTGATCACTGAAATCACTCTCCATAATGAAAATCGTCTGGATGTGGCTTTAAGGAGCCTCAGGGCAGGAACAGGGTGGGACATGCGAGGCTTCACTTTCATCACTGTAGCCAGAGATCTTCAAAAGGGCAGACTGCAGGCCTCACGCAGCCCACAGAAATGTTTGGTTTGGCCAGCATCATGTTTCTAAAACATTTGAATTTGCTGTCAACATTTAAAAACCAAAAGAATTTGCATTAAATTTTGGATATTCAGTTTCTCTTGGACATTTGGAAGATCCAGCAATCCCAGCCTTTCCAAGGAGCTGCCCCATGGAGAGAGCAGACCCTTTCTAGGCAGGCAAGGCCTGGCCTCATTCTAAGGTGACCAACTCATCTTGGTCGGCTGGCGGACGTTTCCTGGGAAACCCCTCAGTCCTAGGTACCAGGACAGTTGGTCACCCCACCTAGTTCTCTCACTGATGTTATCTGCCTGGAACCTGTGGACACTGCACGTGTGACCTCTTCCCTACAGCCTCCGCCACTCCCCTCCAGGGACTGCCTCTGCAGAACGACACGCAGAGCTGTCTGCTCTGAGAATTCTCCCCACTCTCCCACATACCACCTACTCTCAACTTCTCTTCACTCCTTGGCATTCGCAAAAGCCATGGATGCTGACACAAACGAAGTCCAACTCTTTTTTTTTTTTTTTTTTTTTTTTTTTTGAGATGGAGTCTTACTCTGTCACCCAGGCTGGAGTGCAGCGGCGCGATCTCAGCTCGCTGCAACCTCCACCTTCTGGGTTCAAGAGAATCTCCTGCCTCAGCCTCCCAAGTAGCTGGTATTACAAGCCCAACACCACGTCCAGTTAATTTTGTATTTTTAGTAGAGATGACATTTCATCATGTTGGCCGGGCTGGTCTTGAGCTCCTGACCTCAAGTGATCCACCCGCCTCACCCTCCCAAAGTCCTGCAATTACAGGCTTGAGCCACCGTCTCCTGGCCATTTTTCTTTTCTGAAACAGAGCCTCGCTCTGATACCCAGGGTGAGTGCAGTGGCGTGATCATGGCTCACTGTACCCTGACTTGTTGGGCTCATGCAATCCTCTCACCTCAGCCTCCAGAGAAGCTGGGACCACAGGCACATGCCACCAGATCAAACTATTTTTTTAATGTTTTGTAGAGACACGGTCTCGCTGTTATCTAGGGTAGTCTCAAACTCCTGGACTCAAGTGACTCTCCTGCCTTGGCCTCCTAAAGTGCAGAATTCATTTTTAAAGACCCACACAAGTGCCATTTCTTCCCCTGGGAAGCCTTCTCTATTCTCCCGGTACCAGGTAGAACAGGGCAGTCTGTCTGTGTTCTAACCACACTCAATTCTTCCTTTTACTTTGCTCATCACCATTAACACAGCATCAAGTGAGCTGACCCAGGGAGCACCCTTCCCAATAACTAGAGGGAGTCAAAATTGTGATAAAATTGAAAAATGTGAAGATTTCGAAGCTGAAGTTGAAGTCTCAGTCTCTCTGCAGTTGTGAGCTTTGCACATCATTCACCAAAATGAAAAACGAAAACCATCCCACAATTATCTGCACCAACTCCATAGTGGTATTTACCACGCCAAAGTCGAAGAACACTTGGACCCGCTGAACACTGACCCCCAGTTTCTTCTGCCTGTAACGTGGTATCTTAATCCTACGCTGATGTGTCTGCCCCAGTGGCCCTGGAGACACTCAAGGGCAGCAACCTTCTTCCCAATCCTGTATCCTCAATGCCTGCAACATA